TCTCCTGATGACGGACAGAGCACACTGTCCGAAACGTTGAGCCTCTCCGGTTCTTATCAGAACCACACAGACTCAAAAAGAGATATTGCATGGTGCTCACCGCAAGCTTTCCATCTTAAACTTTTGAGTGTTTACTGAGGGCCCTCGCTCATTACTCGTGAGTTCAACAAGGCCCCTTGTAAGTTTTCAGAGAAACTTTTGGGCTGTACTGTATGTGTACATGTTTATGTATTACATATAGTTTTAGAGCTGTATCAACTGCACTTAAACTACACATGGGGCCTAGTTCAATTGTTGACTTGACTTAAGCTACCAGGATGTTGCTTCTTATCAGCTCTGTAGACTGGGGTCCCAAAGTGGGTTCGGATGATAAACTGTAGCATATTATTTATGTTAACAGTGACATCAAGAATCGTCAGGATGCAGTTGAGGAATTGATGCACTCCAAGTGTGAGGCATTGAATCAGACAAGGGATCTCTTGAGCGGGGCACCAGACCTGGAGAAAGGCATTTGCAGCATCTATCATAAGAAGGTAAAGGATGTTCGGTTGGTCTATTCTGTCATTTTGAATGTTCTTTATTGGAAACTTGTATACAATATAATTGCTAAGCTCTCTTATCCAGAGATGATACAGACAGTTCTTGTGTGCATTTTTAGGAGGAATATTGGTTCTCTCTGTTTGTCAATCACATAATAAAATTGTGTATTTTAGAGCATGTACACTTTCATAGATGTTCATTGTTACTCCATCAACAGTGCTCATCTGCAGAGTTTTACACAGTTGTCCAGTCACTAAGCAAGCTGTGGCACACACTGAGTTCCTTCCAGCAGCTAACTGAGCATGAGATAACTTCAGACCCCCTGAAAGTCATCTTCACTGAGACACCATCACTGCTGGAAGGGGTGAATGAATTTTTTCTCGCCCTCAATAAGAAAGCAGCCAAGTAAGTATAAATGGAGCCCAAGGCAGTTTGCTGCCTGTCATATTTAACCCTTTCGCTACGGACTACTACCAGGTTACTACCACACCATTGTATGAGGATTAGTGCATACCACACATACAGTCTATTCACCATGCAGCTGCTGGTTCAATGGGGCTTGCTGCTGGACAAAGCCCTCCATTCAGAGCATACCACAGTCCAGCAGTCAAAATAATCCAGCTGTGAAGGGGTCTAAAAAAGAATATGCTCAGAGCAGTTACGTTGTCAGGTTCATTTCAGTAAAAGTACAGAATTGTTCTAGAACAGAGGTGAGATTTGTCTGGATTTCCTGATGTTTAAAAATGTTAATTAAGGATGTTTGGATTTTTTTCCATCTGGCTTGACTTTGTAAAAATTGTAACTTGTTTTTTTTCTAAATTTTGTAAGACAGCAAATGCAAAACTTGTACAAGTGGAGATTTAGAGTGCATGTTCTTGTGATGTTAATCCCATGCGAATGCAATTGAATGCCACCGAACTGTTGGAATATGTGGAGTTAAACCATGAAGACTCAGCACACCTCATTGTGGATATGTGCCATGCACTTACAGTCTATGCATTTACAAGTGAATGTTTCAACGAAGCTGTTAAAATATGCAATACTCTGGCAATTAGCCAATTAGATTCTTTACAGAAGTTCAGTTGATCACTTTAGCCCCTAAAGTTACTGATTACAGTTGAGATCTTTCAATTGACAGACAAAAAGAATTCATGGGAATTTTTTTCACTCAAATGTCAGGTAACCAAGGAAGTGGCAAAGGGTAAGACAATGTATTATAATGATTTCATCTATTAATCAATGCTGGTGAACTTGATGCCTGTAAAGGATTGGAGAACTTAAGGAGGCACATTCTTAATTATCAAGATACATCAGAGCAACATTTTCTCCGGATTTAACGGTTTCCTCAAATCTCACCCCTGACCAAAAGTTGAGTCAAATCTACTTCTGGAATGATATACAGTGTAGGTCAGGTTGGTATTCCAGCTGCGAGGCACACCTCATCAGGATTTACAAATTCTAACTAACCTTATCTTAAATAAATAATTTAATGTATCAATTTAAAAATGATACATGTTAGCAAAGGACAGAAAAGCTTTGTGTCCTGGAAAAGCTCTGTGTCCATTAACCACTTCGTGCCGGGGCATTTTTCAATGTTGATGATGTTGGGTCGGCATGACTATCATTTTTTCCGTTTTCAAAATCCTTCAAAAATTCATCATTTCATTTAACGGTCGTTTATAGACGCACGAAGTAATCTTCAGGCACTACTCTAAGTTGATAGGTGACCTTCATTGATGTCCGAGTATTTCAGCCAGGCCTGCAGCCTTGTAAACAGAGCCCAGATTGTGCGGTGTTATATAACTGTCTTTTGTTCACGAACCTGGCTCAGTACTCTGCTGACCTCTTTTCAATAGGGGCCAGATTAGCGTGCAGCGGTGCTGTGTGGCTCATCGCTGCGGTGGTGGATTGCTTTTGTCCCCGGTGGTAATCCGCTCACTCTCAATGCCCCAAACCCTGGTATAGGGTTTCAAAACAAGGCTGGATTA